CTTTTTTATCTACTCTATTCACATTACTTTTAATGTGAACAATAAATTAATATGATAAGAAGAACGATTTCCTCTATCTCATCTTTTCCCGTCTTGGCAGCGTGGAACCTTGGCACGGAATGGGCCCCCTCCCGCTTCTCTCTAAGATGTAGCATGTCTTAGGCAAGGTTAGATCTACAATTACCGTTTGTTTTTTTTTTTGATTTGTAACAAAAAAGATCTTTAACATAGAAATACTCCGTCATCCAAGCGGTATCGAATCTCCCATCGGGGGCCCTCGGTATCTCCGTTGTTGTCCTGACCTGGTAGCCCTTCGACACCGTGAAAGTGAAGATGCAGACGTTCCCCGGCCTGTACCAGGGCTTCGCCGACTGCTGCCGCCAGACGTACGCGCAGGTGGGCCTGCGCGGCTTCTACAAGGGCACCGGCCCCGCGCTCATGGCCTACGTCGCCGAGAACTCCGTCCTCTTCATGTGCTACGGCTTCTGCCAACAGTTTGTGAAGAAAATGGTGGGCCTGGACAAGCAGGCCAAGCTGAGTGACCTGCAGACCGCGACCGCCGGCTCCATGGCGTCCGCGTTCGCGGCGCTGGCCCTGTGCCCCACTGAGCTGGTCAAGTGCCGGCTGCAGGCCATGCACGAAATGGAGAAGTCAGGAAAGATCATCCAGAGCCACAACACAGTTTGGTCCGTGGTGAAGGGCATCCTTATGAAGGATGGCCCCTGGGGCTTCTATCACGGCTTCTCCAGCACGCTCCTGCAGGAAGTACCGGGCTATTTCTTCTTCTTCGGCGGCTATGAAGTGAGCCGAACGGTCTTGGCCTCGGGGAGATCCAAAGATGAACTGGGGCCCGCCCATTTGATGTTAAGCGGTGGAATTGCTGGGGTTTGCCTCTGGCTTGTCATATTCCCCGTGGATTGTATCAAATCCAGAATTCAGGTTCTTTCCATGCATGGAAAACAGGCGGGGTTTGTTGGAACTCTTGTAAGCATTGTGGAAAGTGAGGGGATAGCAGCCTTATATTCTGGACTGACAGCTACTATGATTCGAGCGCTACCTGCCAATGGGTCACTGTTTTTGGTTTATGAATACAGCAGGAGGAGGCTGATGAGCCAGGTGGGAGCAGACTGAAGTGTCTTGGTGAACCTGGATCCACATGTACACACCTTTGAGGACTGTAGTTTATCTCAGGTTTTCATGGAGTACTGGACTAAAGTAAGATTATTTTTTTTACTTCATGGGAGTTTTGTTTTTATCTTCTTCTACCCTATACCTTAAACTTTGTGGAAGAACCTCTGTTTTTCATCATAAAATTTCTGCCCATAATTGTAATGAAATAGAAAAGTTGCTGCTTTTGTGTTTTGTGGGATATACAGAGTAAGTGGGTGGCCCTGTCTACCTAATTTGAAAGGCTAAAGATAGTTATATCACAGCCTTTTCGTACACCTATGAATGTACATACAATTTAGTTGGTTATGTGTTGTGAGTGAAACACAGTTTGGTTCCCTGTTTAATGTCATAGCACCAGAAAAACCGAGTGAACTATGTTTCATGAAGATGGTTGTAAATGATTAACTTATTCAAGATGTAGGTTCTCTTAAAACTGTACTAGGAAATTAAAGTTTTTTTAAAAAAGTTTTTGTGTGGTAATTGAAAACCAAAATACACATCTAGATTTTTAAGAAGAGGGTATACTGCTGTGTGTTCCACGTTCTTGAGTTAAAGTTCCAGAGTTGGTATCCTGGATTTTTCTAAGATGCTCTGCTCTTAAAATAGAGTCGATCATTTTCAAAGTGGGATCATATTCCACACTCTTAGCTGTGGCCCAGAGTGTCAGACCTTTGGGAAGTAGCATAGCCTTCAACTATATCTACTTCCCTTCTTCTCTCCCAAAGAGCTTCTCCTCTGTGGGGCTTAAGATTGAGGAAGGAGTTGTGCTGCTATGCTTTGGTGAAGACCAATGTAGCTAACAACAGTTCTTAGCTTCTAGTTTCTGGGTCTAGGATTCCAGGGGTGTTATCTGGGCCCATTTAGGGGTTGTTAATCCACTTTGGATTATTCACTCTCTGCCTCCACCAGTCAGACACCCTTCCAGGGAACAGAGAGTGCCAAAGCCAAGAAAAGCTTCTGTTCCCTGTTGTGTGTTCAAACGACAATACTTGTGGATGAAGTCCTCTCCTCTCAGGCAGAACTAGACAGAATCTAGTGTTTGCACTCCAGAGTGAGGAATATTAAGGCTGACCCATCCTGAAGTTTACCTCAAGGTCTATAACTCCTCGTCATGCTTATAAAGTGTTGGAACCTTCTAAATTTGGTACTGACCATCAGTGAATTTTAATGAAAACACTATATGGAGTGTGACTTTATAAAGCAATGAAACATAAGAAATGCAATTTTATTAAACTATACCACATTTATGTATATATGCACACACAAAAACCATAGTTCATCTGATCCTAGAAATTTGGTGATGTGTACCATATGGCCATATGGTAAGATAGTTATTCTTGTCACCATTAAAATAAGCCTTATCATTCTTTGCTGGTCCAAGATCAGCAGAATCTTCAATAAGAAGTGTTCTTAAGCAGCATGTAAAGCTAAAAGCCAGCAGGCTACCAGTCTTAATAATAGTCCACACCATGTATGTGTATCGCTGTCAGTAGACCATAAATCTTTGTAAAATCTCTAGTTTCCTTTAGCTTTTTCTATCAGTGAAGCCTCTGTCAAATTCATGTTTTGATATTTGGGTACAATTTGTACCATTTAAGATCTTTATTCCAGAAAGATAGTAATTTGAAATATTGTCTTTAAAGAAATTTGAGTGTTCTATCATTAAATTATTTACCTAAATAAAAATATTTATTTAATTCACACCACTTAAAATGTACTGTATGGCCCTGGCCTGTTTGGCTCAGTGGATAGAGCGTCGGCCTGCGGATTCAAGGGTCCCAGGTTCGATTCCGGTCAAGGGCATGTACCTTGGTTGTGGGCATGTCCCCAGTGGGGAGTGTGCAGGAGGCAGCTGATCTATGTTTCTCTCTCATCGATGTTTCTAACTCTCTATCCCTCTCCCTTCCTCTCTGTAAAAAATCAATAAAATATTTTTTAAAAAATGTACTGTATGACCTCTAGATTTTCAGACATTAATGATATCTGCGTTCTGTTCTCAAAAACCTTCCTTCCTTCCTTCCTTCCTTCCTTCCTTCCTTCCTTCCTTCCTTCCTTCCTTCCTTCCTTCCTTCCTCCCTCCCTTCCTTCCTTTCTTTCTTTCTTTCTTTCTTTCTTTCTTTCTTTCTTTCTTATTTTCTTTCTTTCTTTCTTTCTCCCTTTTGCTAATAACTCCCCTTCTACACCCTCCTGCCTATAAAAACCTTGCATTTTGTGCACCCCTCTGAGAATCCTTCTAGTTGCTAGGTAGGATGCTGCCCTATTCATGAATCACTTAATAAAGCCAATTAGATCTTCAAATTTACTCAGTTGAATTTTGTTTTTTTTAACATACCACATCCATCACCTTTTTTTATTGCGTTACTAGAGACCCAGTGCACAACATTCATGCAAGGGGCTCAGCCCCCACCACCACGGCAGCCGGGGGCCTTTACCTCGGCCCCTGCCCACTGTTGCAGGGGCCTCTTGCTGCCTCTGCCTTGGCCCTTGCCACTGCAGTTTCATCTGGTCTAATTAGCATATTACGCTTTTATTATTATGGATAACTAGTGGCCCGGTGCATGAATTTGTGCACATTGAAAGTGAATTAATTAGAAGAAATATTTTAATATTGCTGTTTGGCCCGCCCCCCCAATTGCCATCCCCTCCCTCTGCCTGCTGCCACCTGCCTTGGCTGGCCTGGCACCGCCCACTCGCTAGCCCCACCCTCCGCTGACTGGTTGTTCTGCTGTTTGGTCAATTTGCATATTTCCCTTTTATTATATAGGATTGGCATATAATATTCACTTATTTGTTATTTTTGTGTGGTGAGATGGTATTTATTTCTAAGATTTAAATTGGTCAAATCCATTTTTCTGATGCCTAGCCTTATTTTAAATTTCACTTCACTCCCACATCGCATAATTTACCCCTCAACTTTGAAAAATCTTTTTTGCTGTTATTAATCCTCACTCAAGGATATTTTTCCATTGACTTAGAGAGAGTGGAAGGGAGGGGAAGAGACACAGAGAGAAACATCACATCAGTTGGTTGCCTCACACACACACTCGCACCAGGGCTGGGGATAGAGCCTGCAACCCCAGGTACCGTGCTCTTGACCGAAATTGAAACTGGAACCCTTCAGTCAGCAGGCCAACGCTTTATCCACTGAGCCAAACCAACTGGGGTAAAAAATATTTTCTGATATTCCATTATTTGGTCTATAGTCAGGGCCAGATGGTCTGCATGCTACAGTGAAATTGTAACTAGAAATTCATTCTCTGTCCTAGCTTTCATAGGATACCAAGCTTTAGCAGTTGTTAAGTATATGTGATATCTCAGAAAGATCAAATCTGGCAATGTACTACCAAACCTGTAATTTTCTTTAATTGCACAAGAAAATAGCTTCAAGTTGCTGAACTTGGAAGAGAAGGAGGTTCTTTTTTTTCTGGCCCAAAGCTCTAAAGAGGAGTGATAATTATTTCTAGGAAGTTGTTGTGTACATAAAATAGTCACAGGAGAAATTTTTACTCAAGGCCTGGAAGTAGCCTTCTGTCCGTGGTTGTATTTCCAACTTGAGCACCATCTCAGCTTTGAAATCCCTATTTTCAAAGCCTGTAACTCTCTGGTCTCTCTGATCCCATCCAGTTCCATGTGGAATGGGCCAGAAGTCTTCTTTGAGAGACTTTTTACAAAGTAAATTATTTCAACATTTGAACTATCTAGGATCTGCCTTGTGAGCTCCACCATCCAAAGTGTTCTTGGCTCCATTCTAATGCCAGTATTTAAATACTGACTCCTTGTCAATGGACTAGTATCTTCTTGCCAACCAATCCTTTCAAGGTTGGTGGTGGTCATCAGCACTGATTCTCTGTTCATTGAACCAGGCTTAATGGCTTTTTTCAAAACCAGTTCAGAACATTTGGTGTTAGTGGTTTTACTCTACACCTAGAGATGGAAAATTTCACAGGTGGGTATGGGGGGGTAGGGGAGGTTCTATCTTTCCGCAGCCAGCGCAGAGAGAGAGAATGCGGGGGTTGATGAATTCTTGTGTAGAACACCACGAAAGTTTAGGGAAAATGAATAAAACAAGATTGAGACAGAAATATAGGGAAAGCTGGGCCTGGGTGTGGCGTCTGCCCTCTGATGGAGGGACAGCCAGCCATCCAGCACCATATAAATATATATATAAAAATATATATCTATCCAAGTAACCGGAAGTTACGTCACATCTGGGTGGGCCTTGAGTTCCTGGCAACATAATAGGACCCGCCCTCCTTAGCACCTGGGTGGGAAAGTCAGACTGAGTGACTAGACCACCCCCAGGGTATGGCTCTGTCTGCGCCTTGAGTTCAGCCGACATGTTTAAAAAACGCCTGAATGTGCTAGCCAGCAGCCCTCCACAGGTTGATAAGTAGTTTTGTAGAAAATTGACCTTTCTTAACAATCCTGCACATTCTGTGGGTGAAAAAAAATGTCCCCAGAAAGAATATTAGTTCCTCCAGATAATTGTCTGTCTAGTCTAGTGACTATTTCTACTCCAGCCTAAAGAAGTTTCACTGGGTCCTCCTCAGCAACCTGGACTCAGTAGACATTAACTAGGGCATCTTTCCACATACATTGCTTGCTGATTTATATACAAATGGCTGTTCTTTTTTTAAAAATGTTTTTATTTCAGAGAGAAGAAAGGAGAGGGAGAGAGAAACATTCATGTAAGAGAGGAACATCAATTGGTTGCCTCCTGCACACAGCCTGGCTGGAGATCAAACCAAAACCTGGGTAAGTGCCCTGATCCAGAATGGAACCAGCAACCTTTTGGTGCAGGGGACAACGCTCAACCACTGAGCAACACCGGCTGGGCACCTTTTCCAAATTTTTAAGATGTCTATTGATGAGTCAAAGTTCTTGATTAATGCAGTCAAATTTTTATTACTTATTAATCCTAATTCTATGGTCAGTGTCTTTTTAAAGAAGTTATTTCTTCG